AATGTACAAGTCAGCGCTGTTAATCTCCCAGAGAAGTCAGATAACACGGAAACCGATATAGGATTAGTCCTCCCCCTAGACCATGCGAGTAGCAAGCGGCGCACTTGATACAATGACACACTTGATACTACGTAATTACGCCGAGAACCAATCAAGTGAATCAAGTGTTTCTGAGGAGTTTCAAGAACCGGCATTTCGTACGTATGAATTTGAAACACTCACCTTGCCCTCCGCAACTGGAAGCAGCAACAAAACAAAGCTCATACAAAACATGAGGATGACGTTGAACGAATCCAATGAACTCGTAAAGCTCTCCAGTAACGAATAAACTGTAGACGAAGCATGAACAATCGAAGATGAATTTGAAAACTTGGAAAATGTAGACAAGAACTTACCCTATCATGAGATAAATCGTTGAGAAAAAATTCATATAGAACATCATACTCAGAGTGCTACGCTTATAACTCTTATTTATTCTATCTTGGATAGAAGTTGTTGTTCCATCCATAGTTAACGATAATAACTGAAAACATTGCTAAAGCGAGGGAGCCAGGATAAATGGCATAGCTTCAAAGGTTCGAATTGTTCTGGAGAAACTATTGCAGCTCGTATCCCGAAGTTTTTTTTGAACGATTAGGGAAGATTCAACATATATGGATGGTTTGGAAAGAAACAAGCGAATTCTTAAATAACGGAGCCCGTTTTCAACAATCACCAAACAGGTCGGAAGGAGTGTAAAACTAATTTTGAGACTATTTTTTCTACTTACTCAGTCACATGAATTGTAAATGAAGCACAGCCTTCAAGCGTGAAAGGTTTCCCGGAAAGAATACACATTCCAATCAAATGTGTGCTAAAGCCCGCTTGTTAAAGTATTCTTTAAACTCCTCTCACATACTGGATAATTTGGCTGAGTCATGTGAACTTCTCCTGAGGTACGATAACGGTGCTGGTACCATCTGAACATTTTCGTAATGCTCCGATGTCGGACAGCCTTTTGTGATGAAAAAGCGAGAAGAAATTATTGCAGACCCGGAGGAACAAGATTTTGCCCAGGTTAGAGAGTCAGAAGCCCCGGGGAGGTGAACCAAGTGCATTCTGCAGAAGGGGATTTCGCATTTTGCGAGAAGAGCTACACCTACCACGAAGTCATCATCATTACCTCCCACCCTCCCTCGACAGTTTATAAAATGTCCCCTCAAAGCTGCAATGCCACTTTTCGTCAGCGTTTCGAACATTCCGAGCGAAACACCTGCGCTTCGAATGTTTCCCTCAACACGCTACATAGACACCCATTCCATCCTTTTCGCCCAGATCGCTCAAAAGGCTTACGAAAAGTATGAACGCAGCCTAAGCATACTCGTGCGCATTGCAGCCTTTCCGTTATGAGTTGAAACGGTTGATCATAAGGTTTTTTAGTTTGGAAGGAGTCCTACAAGTTGAAGCCCTTATTTTTTTTAAGCCGGACAGCGATGCGGCTATTGGCGACTTAATAAAAATGGAGAAGAGAACTGAAACAAGTAGAGAAAATAACTTTCACCTGAAAACAGCAAGAAAAATAAAGGAAAACAAAACAAAAGAAAAAGCAGAGATAAAAGAAAAGCAACTCACCAACAACACCTCGCCGTTGTCTTCTTATCCCTTATAAAGGAACATAGCTACTCCCACTACAATCATAATAATAAAGACATATTTTCTCCATGAGTATTTTTTTCCAGCAAATAATACGCCGAAAATCAGCACAGGAATCGGCTTGCAGGATTTCGCTAGAACCTAAATTATAAGTAAGTATTCACTTAAAAAGATAATGGTCCACAAAAGTGTAACCTGAGTGGGATATGGTAAGTACTGGAGAGCTTGATTACTGCAGATCATAGCTCCGAGATAGCTAGCAGCACATACGCCGTACATTTTTGTCGGAACCGTATCAATGTCACGTTTAGGACGTAGAACCCAGGCAAAAATCGTGTTGGCTACACATAAGAAGAACACGAGAGCTTGAGTATATGTAAATTTCTCTCCATTGTCGTATTTTCCTTGTACACTGAAATAGTCAATTTTGAGACTACTTTGGAGGCCATAAGTATTGGGTTGGCCCATAAGCAATGGCGTTTTTTCCTTGCACAAATTTTTGTATAAAGAGTGACGATCGTTTCTAATGTGTTCCATGTTATTAGACAGAAAATTCACCACTATACAAGATAGTATAAATGTCTTCCTACTAGTTCTCGATTGCTGTCGACTCTATTTCATTGAATGGGGTGTCGGATCGACGCAAATGTAAGTTTTTGACAACAACTCGGCTATCAAATAACAGAAGATTGAAACTTGTGATCCTACTCTATATAATTCCGCTAAGTATGTCTGTCCGTGTGTGTGTGTGTGTTTGTGTGTGCGTCTGTCTGTGTGTCACGAAATTCATAGCGCCTGTCCCAGTAGCAGTGAGACAATGATTTCAAGAAGTGATGTACGGGGTGTGACGGGAACACACTATTGGTAGGTGACAGGAAGTGTATATCAGTTGATAAGATTCGATAAGGGGCTGTAGAAGGAGAAGGTCACATATTCATAACGCAAGTGACAGCATTAGCCTGCTCTCGATTTTAAGATATGATATAGGGGATAGTCCAAGAACATCATTAGTGGGTCACAAAAACTGTAAGCTGCTGATAAGATTCGATAAGGGGCGTTAGAAGGAAAAGGTTACCATATTCACAGCGCAGGTCACAGCATCAGCCAGCTCTTGATTCCGAGATATGATATAGGGTGAGGGCCAAGAACATTATTGGTCGGTAATAAGAACTGTAAGCTGCTGATAAGATTCGATAAGGGACGTTAGAATAGTGAGGTCATCGTATTCATAGCGCAGGTCACAGTATCAGCGAGGCGTAGAAGTGAGAATATGTGTGAGGGGGACATCAACCGTGGGTGACTAGAAGCGATAACTACTGATAGGGGCTGATAATGGAGGTTGCAATCGTCGTCGCTGTTCAAGGCGGTTCACGCTCCCAAATCATAGAGATTTAGATGAAGGACATTGATGACGGGTGACAGGTAATCTTATCAATCGATAAAAATTGGATACGATACCATCTGCGCTACATTTGTATTACCTCTCACCGCTTTAATGCCGAGTATTCGAGGCTCAGATTGTGAATCTTTCCTTTGGCCAACACTTTCCTGATAACACTAGAAAATGAACTCATCCCACTATCCTACTCTATATAATGTCGATGTCGACGAGGGGGGGGTATGTAGTACGCCTGAAACAGGAAAGTCAGGGAAGTTTTGAAAATTTTTTTCTTTCGAACTTTCAATTATTGATGAGAATGAATAACAAGGGAGTAAACCACCTAAAATTATTTATACTTCAGCGAGCGCTATATTGATCGACTGCACTTTATATCTATAGGTCTATTTGTTGTACGGGCGTTATGGCGCGGACCGCAAGTATAAGCGTTTGCTAAGGAGTGCAGGATCCGCAGAGTTGCTCTATCTGTTATGATTGGACCAATACAGCGCTGTATGAGCAACCCAGTGATTGAAGAGTTCCGTTCCCCATTATGGAGCGCGCCTGGCGAAGCCAGGCCAGCTCGGCGAAGCCGAGCTAAAAGAGAAGGAGGAGAGCTCGGCGTCAGCCGGGCGATCCGACTGGTATATACGATCAAGGAAAGGTGCTTCTTATGACGCTTGAAGTTGGTTCAAACGATAAGAGGTGGGAATTCGGACCTTGTAAATGTGAGTTGCATGGGAGGCCCTCTTGGGGAGCGACCGCCTGCAGAACCTCCCCACTAACTCTTTGACGTCTAACATCAACCAACCATAAGGGTGGCTTGATAATGATAAGAAAGCACTAAGACCTTAAACGATTTCGCAATCTTTGGCATAATGCTCCGTGACAAAGGTAATTCCGTAAGCTCTCAGTGAGGCAGAATAGGGCACTAGGTTCGGTGCTTGTCTGCGAGGTCGAAATTGGAATCTTCAAATCACCTAAAACGTTGCAGGCATTACTAAGAGACATAGCCACTTGGCCATATACTTGGCAACTGGGCATGTACGGTTACAGCTTTTTAATTACAGGTACAAAAGAGCCGAGGCTTAATTACAGGTACAAAAGAGAGGCTGTCGAAAATGTTCAATTTCGTCGACCTAACACTAAAATTTGAGCACTTAGATACTGAAGGGAAGAAAACTTTCTGGAAAACTAGGAACTCTCGTATAGACAAAGAGTTCTCTGTAAAACAGTATAATGGCAGTATAATGGCAAAACTTGTCATCTCTAGCGGGATATTTCGCGTGAGAAAAGAGCCATTACTTGTGGGCCGACCCAATAAATCAAACAAGTTAAAGTAAATTCGGTTTCCCATGACAATTTAGCCTATATTACGAGCATAATGAAGAGTACGTGCGAAGAATAAAGAGGGAAGTACCAACAAAATTGAGATAAAGCTGAACTTGATCCAGATGTGAACCTTCTCACGAAAACGGGGCAGAGACTATTCCCCTCCATGGGCGGGCAGTTTTAGTAGATCGCTGTTTCAGTTTTTTGCTCCATTTGACACCGGTTATTGAGCGCTTTATCAAATTGGGAACCAAATTTTCTTATCTCATCATCCTAAATAAAGATCTCCTTAGGCTGCGTTCCCACTTTTTCGGCGTTTTGAGCTGGTTAAGAGGATAAATAGGTTTCAGTGAAGTGTATTGGGATGAACGCTCAGCGCTCTAAACGTTTCGGGAGCATCTGCAGCGATTTGTGCGAGAAGGTAAGGGGTACTGATCTAGTGTTTTGGGCGTTTCGAGCTCTAGAAAATGAGGTAGATCTTAGAATAGTCTTACATATAATAATTGACACATCTACTATAGGCATAACTGCTTACTGACCTCGCACCCGAAATGGGCGAGACACTTTCTGGCGTACCTCCAACTTACAATGGCTTCAGTGCCCTCGTCACTCACTGTGGAGTCATGAAAGTGGCTCAGTCTTTGAGACTGTGGACGGACAACTTGCGCCGGGAAGGAATCCCGCGAGTTGTTTGAGCGCGGGGTCCGTCTTTCGCGGATTCTATCCTTTTCCAGCGGCCAGAGCAATAAAACGCAGTATCCGAATGCTAGACCATTCGGTCAACCCTCAGATTCTCCACTTTCCACAAGCATAACGTGCATACAAAAAAGACACAAAAATAAAAAAAACCTAAAAATTACCCATGAGCAAACTCACATTCTTTCCTGCTGAATTCCAAAATAGAAATAACACAGAAGTATACCACCCGCACATATTAGAAAATGAAAAGCTTCCGTTAGATGAGATCGTGTTAGGACGTTGACGTGCTGAGATTCGGCTTTTGATTTACCCGTGGGATCATCTATGTGGTCATACTTTGCTGTCATCTGAAAATGGGAAAAAATGTATTAATCATCCCTTTATTATTGTGAAAATTATAGCGCAGAGAACAATAGAACATGGTTAGAACAATAAGAACGCATCGTCGGCATCAAGGGAATCATTGGCACAATCACCGTATGCCTCATCAGGTGGCGTCCATACCACTGTGGCACTGGGAAAAGCGAGAATTGGAGAACCGGAGAATTATGAAATTTGGAGAATCTGCGAGAAGGATCATGTGGTATCAATCTGAAGAAAGAAAAAAGAAGAGAAATAGAGAAAGATCGTCTAAAGAAAGCGCGAAAAAGGTCAGATATTTATCGACAGAACTATTCTCTGATGACGTCATTTTCAGTTGGGAGACGGGCAAGAGAATCGCAAACTGCCGCTTTGTCGCGCACGGCAATAGGCGCGACGTTTCCTTAATTTGCACTACCCTTTCGATTGGAGCATCGGATTTCATGTAGACAAGGACATGGTAGACACTTATGTCTATTTTTGGTCATACATTGTCTATTCTCGACCAGTACCACCTAAAATCGTCGTCATTAGCGAGGCGACGTCGCACGCGGGGCCCACCAGCGCGTTGATTGCTGTTCTGTTGTCACATACCCCTCCAGTTTGGTAGAGTCTACCGCTTAATTTTTGTTGCGCATTCTTCAATTCATCATATCGCCGATTCCGCAGACAGACACGTGTGGTTTCCTTACCGCCGATTCTTTAAAGTATAAACCTGCTGCGAGGTATGAACGCCGCCTTGTTCTTGGAAGAATCAGAGAATCCGCGAAAAGGACTGGATACCCTTCGATTCTACATCCAGTGTCGCAAGGTATGAACGTAGTCATACCTTGCGTATCCAATAAGATTAAAGAAGTTGTTTTCAAATTCTGGACGGTGATGCATTTCTGAGGGGGAAAGGAACCGCTCGGTCACGCCAGGCCGTTGATCCCCAACTACGTCAGCGCCTGATTTTTTTAAAGAAAAACGAATGCCATAAGTTAGAGCCCTCAGACTTATTGGAAAGTTCTTCTATTTGCCAGAGTATAAGGCGCATTTCGCAAAGTCGCACGCGAAAAGTTGTGCGAGTAAAATCTAGTAAAAAGTTGAAAAGTTGACACGGCAATGATATTTCTGTTTTTTCTGGATCATTAGTCTCTCGAAGGTTTTCAAACATCTCTCATCGAATACAGATATTATTAATAAGGATAAGAACAACAGAGCACACAAAAGTGAAGTGATTAGGAAATATGCGCGGCATTCGAAGCGAAGGTGCGCCTTATATGTACATAGGTGCGGCTTCTACTCCAAAAAAGCGCAGTCAAATGGATTCTCAATTTAGCTTTTTTTATTCTTGCAGAACTTTTATACGTTGTTTTGGCTTCCCACATATACAGTAAGTTGTTGTAAAGACTAGTAAAGTGATGAAAAGGAATGATATTCGACTTATTGATTGCATAGGAAAGTAAAACCTAGCAAAACAATCGAAATATAATTCGGATACTTCCACACTTAATTCACATTGCCGAAGCAAGAAAAGGAAGAAAGAAATGAGCAAACATGTCCTTCTCTGAATTTCATTCACATACGTTGATAGTTAGAAGACTAACGTAAGAGAAAACGACAGAAATATAAAATTGTACTTGGGAAACCTCTGGAATAG